CTAATTCGATGCCATATTAGCGATATTTCGCCGTTATATTCGTATTGGTTGTCCTTACGAGGTTATTATGTTAACAGCTTCTATGTTTACATGTTGCTGCAACCTCAGTTTGTGACTTGTTGCTTTCTTTTTTATTTCTTCATCGACTGTGGATAATTTGAGATCACGGTGTATATCACTGTTCCTAATATACCATAGATCTTTTAAAATGTTCCATAGAACCTTCTGGAACGTTCTGGAAACGTTAGATTATTTCGACGTTACCTTGGCTGTTAATGAGTATAGAGTTTTATATGGATGGATATAGATTATATAAACTGTTTGTTTCCAATAATAATCGATGTATATACAGAGTATTCAAATTTTCTTACTACTTTAAAGTTTAAATTTTAAAACTGAAATCAAATATACTGAAATGGAAACATATTACGAATCTAAATGATATGTAATAGTTATATCTTAAAAGATTTCTGTTATAAATAATGTAAATACATATATTGGCAATAACAAATATGTAGTTAAAACTATAAGAAAAGTCTAAATTTAAAGTAAAAAATATTTATAATAATATATTTTATTGGACCAATGCAACCATTATATATTTACTATATCATATATTGAAATTTAATTTTTAAATAAATTAATATTGAGGTAGTAACCAGCGAAATAATGAGAACCAGCCAACATTGCTGTTGAACGGATAGTAATAGTTACGACAGTAATGTTCTTATGAAATGGTTCATTTCTTGGGTAAATAAAGTAGCTAATATATATGAAGGAATGTGAAATGATTTTCAACTACTAACGATAATAATTTGTTTTTTATTGAATAAACGTGCAAAACTAATTTTATTTGAGTTATAAATATAAATTTGAATACTATATAAATCCATTAAAAACTAAGTGACAGAAATGGAGTCGTATATTTATATACTTAATTAACAAAACCTAAAAATCAACTTCTTTAAGTATTTTTCTATAATAATGAAATAAACATTATAAATATTATATATCTTAAAAAAATTAAATTGGAATTATTAAATAACTGTTGCTGAATAAATTTAAGCTTTTGCCGTCGCTAATTTAATGCATTGATAATTAGGAAATATGCACTGAACATACCTAATAAATAAATATTTGACAGATCTTAATCATCATCATATGACATGCCGTCACTATTTTGTTGGAATGTGTACTGTAAACAAAAAACTGTCAATTTGTTACCATAGCAACCACCGAAAGTTATAGGTATTTGTAAATGTCCGTTAAAAACTGGAACATGATTTTTCCGAGATCATATAATAATAGTTCATATAAAATTATATATAAAAAATGTTTTTACGGCTGATATATTATAATGATCAAAAGTTTCATTTAATTAATTAATTTTATTTTACATTATTTAACAAAAATGTTTGTAGAATGTATCATTCTCAGTAGCTCTATAAACAATTTCAATGGTCATAAAAATAAATAATATGCAGATGAATAACAAAATAATGTTTCTTTTTTATAAAAAATTTAATATGTAAAAGTGTTTAAAAAATAAATTTTCATATAGATATCTATATACAAGGTGAGATGAAAAAACTGCAACCAACTTCAGACTGCTGTCATTTCTAAACCGCTCGTCCCACAGCTGTCAGATTCTAGTGACAGCTCATTATATTGTTTACAAGCGCACAAAAGCATTTTGGTGGGAATTTTTCAGAAAAAAAGTTATTTGTGATGGAATACAAGCGTGATAGTGTGATTGCTTTGCATTTGGCTGGAAAACCACAAGTGGCTATCGTTAGAGCCCTCCAGCATTTAAAAGTGAATAAATCTTTTGTGTCTCGTACCATCGCTCGTTACCATGGTACTGGTAGCGTAGCCCGACGTCAAGGAAGTGGACAAAAAAAAACAGCAACATCGGCAGAAATGGTTCGAAAAGTGAAGAAGCGAATTGAACGAAATCCGCGTCGCAGTGGACGAAAAATGGCTCGTGAGCTGAAAATATCGCAAAATGCCATTCGGCAAATATTGAAAAATGAGCTTGGACTAAAGCCATTGAAGTTCCAAAAAGTGCAAGATCTTACTGATGCGCAAAAAAAAGTTAGACTCGAAAAAGCTAAAGAGTTGCTTCGCTTGGCCGAAAGTGGTGAACTGCCGAATTTGGTTTTCTCCGATGAGAAACCATTCGTTATCCAGCAGTTTGTAAACAAACAAAATGATCGTGTTTACTTGCCAGAGAGGTCAGCTGAAAATTTGCAACTTCTGTTGGCCACCACAACTCAAAAGCCGGCCATGGTGATGGTGTGGGCCGCCATAACAGCCGATGGTCGCTCGCCGCTCGTATTCATCGACCGTGGGGTCAAAATCAATGCGCAAATCTATCGCGAAAATATTTTGGAGGGAGTTCTGAAGCCCTGGGCACGCAAACATTTCGGCCGCAGACCTTGAACATTCCAACAGGACTCAGCACTATCGCACTCAGCACGCGCCACCCAAGAATGGTTAAGAAATGAGGTTCCTCGCTTCATTTCCACCGCACAATGGCCACCAAAATCTCCGGATGCCAATCCGTTGGACTATTGTGCCTGGGGTATTTTGGAAAGCAAGGTTGGCACTAAAAAATACCAAAGTGTCGATCATCTCAAGCAAGCGCTTCGCCGAGAATGGGACAAAATACCACAGAGCCACTTTCGGGCAGCGTGTGATGGTTTCATTGGCCGTTTGAAGGCCATAGTTCGTGCCAAAGGTGGCCAATTCGAACAATTCTAAACCGATTCTCAAATTTGATGTTATTTCCGACATTTTTTGCTTTCATTCAATAAAATTTAAAAAAAATGAAAAAATTATGGCGTTTTACTTTGTTGCAGTTTTTTCATCTCACCTTGTATATATATATGTTACCGAGTTAACAAATTGTCGAACCATCAGATCTTGTAAATTTTTCGATATTCTGTAAAACACAATTAAAAAAACCAAATTGCATATTTGAGAGACAAAGAGATTAATAAAATAGATATGAAAAATCAACTTAAATAAATCAGTTACATTACTTTTAAGATATTTTTTAAAACAAAAGAATTTTGGTTTCACATGAATAATTTTATATTTAGTTATTTTAACTGGATTTCAATCAAGTCACAGGTAAAAAACTTCTAACTAAAATCATGAAATTATTTGACGCATTCCATATTTAGGTACTCACTTTAAGTGAACTCACTTTTTTTCATCAAAATAACTATGTATGACAGTTTCTATTTACGAGAAAACATATTACTGTCACTATGTGCCACAATTTCTATTGAGAGAAAAATAAAATTATAACGACATGACTTTTCCTTTAGATAAGAAAATCATGTTATAGTAATTTACTTCAGTTGGCATTGACTTCCTTAATTTCGTAAAAATGAAAGTAAATTTCGAAAGTGTTCATTCAGCCACAAATTAAGGATATCATATATTTTTTGTTTACAAATCGAATTTTTAAAAATGACAATCACTATTTGTATCGAGGTAATATTTAAAGTTGATTTTTATAATTATAAAGAATGGCATTCAGTAGTTTTGTTACCTTTAGTGCCTTTCAGATATGTGAATTTTGTGAATTTTGCACTCTATTTTAAATTAATAACAGTTATAGTTTTTCGCTATATTCAAATTTAAAAATTTGCATTACTTGCAAAATATTTTCCCGGTTTCATTAAAGTCAACTTTCACTAACATTTATTTAAAAAAAATGTCCCTTTTTTCGTTATCTCAACTTTATCTCTTGTTTAAAATTTATAAAATTTATTTATCTTACGTATAGTTCATAAAATGTCCCCTAATTTCAGCTTTTGTTTCACCGAAATAAAGGCAATTTTCCTTAATTTCGTTCCAACCTTAAAACTGAGTTTTGTATGGCAAAACAACTTAATTTCGTTGATGAGACTTAATTAACGAATATGAAATTAAGATTTTTGCGATATTAAGGTGTGTCTGAACATAGTATTAAGCATTCATAATGTTTAAATAAATTCCAACGGCTAGTTGAACCAACTTCCAACAAAACTTAATTTCAAATTTTTATTTATATCTTAAGAGAAGTTAAATTGGATCTGTTTTCTTTGCAAAACAAATATTTTGTTAAAAGCATGACTTTACTTCACATTGATTCATCTTTAACCTTTTCCTTGAGGTAAATTTTGTGACGTTTTCTGACAGATGGCCACTTATTTAATAGATGATTTCATTTTCTCAATTAAGTACTTTTTGATATGTTAAAAACAAAAAAAAGTAAACGAAAACAGGTGTTTAAATTAAAGAAACAGAACCAAAGAATGTCCCGTCGACTTGGAATAAAGAGACTAGTCAGAAAAAATTAGTTAAACCCGATCACGTGGCGATGCAAGTAGGTATTGAAAATTTACTGAAATTGAAGTGCCAAATTAAATTTTCATTCCGAGAAAAACTAAATAACGTTCGCTTTCGATTGTTTAAAATTTGTTTACGTGTTAGTTAACAAAGTGAAGAGTCCTTTGTTAAACATTACAATCCAATTTTGTATTTCAAAAAGATTTTTGTATCAGCATATGAATCTCAATTTGCCGATTGTAGCGTACTAAATCAATCCAGCAGTAATACAGCCACAGCCTTGTTATCAAAGTTATTGCTAGTAGCATTTTTTCGGAGATTGTTACTATTGTCTTCGTGTGAATTTTTTATTGTTATTATCATCATTGTTAGATGTATATTTTAATGCAGAAACGGTATAGTTCTTAATACTCCAACGAATTATGTACTTTCAAATTCCGTGAGAGAACGTGTTTCACATATGTGTTGGCATTTGACAACAGCGTTGCCAATTTATTTAACAAGCAAATTTGACAGTTCCTTCGTTGATGTAATTCGAACTTTTGAAGTGTAAATTCTGTTTTGTGTTGTTTTTGTGCTTTCTTACCAAATAATTATATGAATTTTTTTACACATACCTTATTCATTGACTATTAACTATTTTATATTGTATTATTTATATCATATAATATCCAATTATTGAATTAATGACAGGTATGAGTTATTTATATTATATTATATGTCAGCGGCCTCGAACTCAAGCACATATTGTGTCAAATTTACTTTCGAAGGTGGTCACACTGGTATTAATCTCAGAAAAGAATAGTCACTCGTGTGTGTATCATCAATGGAAGAATAGCAAAAAAGAACTTCTGTGCTAGGTAAATTTATAAAATAAATATTTTAATTCAGTTTAAAATCATAATTCAATTAAAAATTAATAAATGTCTTAATTAAAATTAAGGAATACAGTGCAAGTGCAATGAAATGATGTATACGAGTAAAGTGTGAAAATTTTGCTGGAGTAGAAAAAGAAAAATCGAAAATAGTGAAAAGGAAAAGCAAATATTCTCAATCGAAGAAGCAATAACGAAAGTAGAAGAAATAAAAAGACAGTCAAAAAGAAACGCGAAGAATTTCGTCATTGGTAGCAAAGAAATTTTTTTTTCAGTTGAAAAAATTAAACAATTTGACTAATATATTAAATAATTAGTTAATATACAAGTAACAAAGTAATATTAAACAGTTAACATAATGGATAAAAACGTATTAATAATGGTGCTTTAATGGAAACAACAAATATCGGAATGTCTCTTGTTACTTTACTTCACCTTGCCTGTCCGGAGCACCTTGCGTATGTGCTTTGCACGTTTGTGGCAATTTTCAATTCTATTTACATATATTATTATTTAGAACATAAGAATTGAAACTAATTGATTTGTTAAAAACATTTTTACTTATAATTGGTATTGTCAGTAGAAATTGTACACAATTTACACAAAAAACACAATATATTGAAAGTCATGAATTAAAAGAATTGTGACAGAATGCCTTAAAACCACTGCAGTCGCTAGTGTTCCCTGCACTTTCTTTATAAATATTAATAATAGTAAATCGGTTGTTGTAAGTGTGCAGGCGGCAGCTATCGACAGATTACAATTTTTCTTTTTTTGTGCCAATTTTTTTTTATTGGACTCATGTTCTTTTTTTAACACTATTCTTTTTTTATTAAGCCTTAAAGAATTTTATCTTTGCATCACGTTATCAGCGTATTCGTCGCCTTAGTTGTACGCTTGTCCATTTGCCATCACCCGTCATCAAATCATCAAATAACGTCATCGTAAGGAGCCTAATTAATAAGTGCCGCCGTCCGGTTATTGCCCGTTTTATCGAGTGTGTTTACTTTTTTTTTTAGTTAACCATTGCAATAACTATAATTAATAAAAATAAATAACAAAATACTAAAAAGAAATTGATGCGTAAGTGTTTTTTTGTGACATTGTTTTTTTTTTGCTTGTGTGATAAACGTCATGTGCTGTTTGTAACCACAGTTGATGATGTCATACAAAGAAAGTAAAATCCAGATCGGCTCAGATCAACATCAATTCTAATTAATATTAACAAAATTACTTAAGGTAGTTTTGTACTTATGTGTTTTTAAAAGTTTTACTATCTAAATTTTGTTATTGTGTAATGTGTTTACACAGAAGAAGAAAACAGTTTTTGTTACGTTCCTTCAGTCAATTAATAACCTAATAAAAGTGTGCCTGTCTAAATGTGTTTTCAATTTAAATGTATATTTATTTGAAATTAACATGTACTCAAGACATGGCTGATATAGGATATTTTAATTATAGCACGTGCCTATATTTTACGTATATATGTTTGTACATTCTCGTGTTTTATATCAGCGTTCATGTTTCATATAAAATTTTATATAAAGAGGTTTTCGAACAGAAGTGAAACAACAACAAAAATTTATTTTTTAAATTATTTTAATTAATTGAATTTTTGGCTGACCATACAGCTGTTTCGAGTATTGCCAAATACCCTTCATCAGTGGTCTTGGAAATAATTCTTGTATTTAATTATTCGTAAATAATTATTTTTGAGACTGCAAGTACCAGGAATCGAACTCGGGTCCTGCCAAATGTGAAGCTCAGAATCAGCGCACCTTAACCAACTGATCCAAAGCCGTACTTGACTTTTTATGTTCGCATATTTTTGCTGGAGTTTTGTTACTTTTGCTATGAAAGTTTTTATTAACAATTTTACTTGCTGTATTTATATATTAGAACGAAATCATAAACCAGCTGTAGAATAATTGAATTAATTAATTAATTATATTTTTTTTATTTTTAATTGTTAAATTTCAAAACTATTCTATTCGTAGAGGCATTATTTGTTGCATGATTTGTTCTTTCTTATGTATAGAACCTAATCTAGGAACGTAATGCTGAGAAAGTCATGCTAATGTTACTCCACTAGTCGCATATAAAATTTTATAAATATTTATTATGGTATCTTCCAAACCAATTATTTGCTATTGGAAACCAAAAACTTTTTCATACACTTTGGAGAAACTAAATAAAACTAAAACTGACAAAAATTAATAAATTAAACAAATTTATTTTATTTTTAAACTGTTATTTTAATAGTACATTGCTTTTTGAAACTATGGTAATTATCACTTCTTCTAGATATTTGATTTTATAATCTCATAAAGATGTAACTCCATAACGAATATATGTGATTCTATCTCGTACTATGTTATGGTAATAGAAAACGATGTTGTTCCATAAATGATTTGCTTCTTTCAATTTACATTTTATTAATTTCTATCAAGACATGGCCAGCATATAAGGATGCTTAGAACCTTGTAGGTTCCACTATATCAATCGCTGTCGAAAAAAATTTTTATTTGATCTGAGATTGTGCCCTATCTAGGATATTGCATTTGTATATTTCTTCTATTGCTTTTCCTTGCCTAATTTCATAAATCAATGTTAGATTTATGAAAGGTTATATATACACTATACTTTATATATACTATACTATGTATATATTATACTGTTCTATATATATACTCTACTATATATTAGACTATATATATACTCTACTATATATTAGACTATATATATACTCTACTATATATTAGACTATATATATACTCTACTATATATTAGATATATATATATATATATATATAATATACTATATATATATATGCTACTCTATATATATATATATATATATATATATATATATATAATATACATATATAACTATAATATACTATACTGTACATATTATATGCTATGTATATACTCTACTTATTATATACTATATATATTATTACTATATATAAATAAGGTAGTAGGACTGTTTGCATACAATACAGAATTGTGGCAGCAAACAGATTATTAAGGACACTCGAAAATCTTTAAATCTAAAATCGTGACTAGAAGTGCCATCGTGATGTTTTTATGTACTATATATATAATATATATATACTATATATATACTAAATATATACTATATATATACTATATATATACTATATATATTATGAACTATATATATAACACTTCGTTCAATAATGTGTGTGACCAACTAATTAAAACACATTTTTTGCCAAAATTCGTTTTTATTCATCAACATAGTCCCCTTTTAGGGAGATACAATCATTCCAACGCTTTTGCAATCTTTCGATACCGCCTTTGTAAAACTATTTTTCTTTGCCTTCAAAATAGGCTTTAGTTTCGGCGATTACTTCATCATTTGAGCCAAATCTCTTACCACGGAGCATCTTTTTGAGGTCTGCGAAGAGCCAGTAGTCGCTGGGGGTCAGATCTGGAGAATACGGTGAGTGCGGCAGCAATTCGTAGCTCAATTCGTTCAATTTTGCCATCGTTTTCATCGACTTGTGACACGGTGCATTGTCTTGGTGGAACAAAACTTTTTCTTCGCCATATGAGGCCGTTTCTTTGCGATTTCGTCTTTCAAACGCTCCAATAACGCTATATAATAGTCGCTGTTGATGGTCTTCCCCTTCTGGCGATAGTCGATGAATATTATTCCATGCGCATCCCAAAATACAGACGCCATAACCTTACCAGCCAACTGCTGCGTCTTTGGTCGCTTTGGGCGGTTTTCACCGGCTGCATGCCACTCAGCAGACTGCCGATTTGACTCTGGAGTGAAATGGTGGATCCATGTTTCATCCATCGTGATGTACCGACGCAAAAACTCCGACTTATTGCGCGTAAACATGTCCAAACAGCTCTTTGAATCATCTATTCGTTGTTGTATTTGTTCCGGTGTGAGCAAACGCGGCACCCCTTTGGAAAACACCTTTTTCATACCCAAATGTTCGTGTATAATGGTGTGTACACTGCCTGCTGATATCTGTAACATAGAATGTCAGCAATCTCCTTCACTTTCACTTTACGGTCGGACATAATGATTTTCAGTGTTTTTTCAACATTTTCCGAAATATCAGCGTCATTTGGCCGTCCAGTAGACGGAATGTCATCGGTGTCTGTACGATCACGTTTGAATTCGGCATACCAATAACAAATGCTTCTTTTTGATGGAGCAGAGTCCGAATAATGTTTTTCAAGCCATGCCTGGCATTGAACAGTATTTTTTTTCATTAAAAAACAATGATAAATCAGCACACGGAATTGCTTTGAATTCATTTTTTTTTTGAAAACTCAAAAGTAGCGTCACTTAAAGCACTGTAACTTGTAAACAAATGGTCGGATTAACATATGATTTTGACAGTAAGCCTAAAAAGGTTGCCACTTTCGAAAAAAAATATTTATTTAGTATTAGTGCCGCCATCTATGTGTCAGTCACACACATTATTGAACGAAGTGTTATGTAGTATATATATAGTATATATGGTATATATGTATATAGTATATATGGTATATATATATAGTATATACCCTAGTCAATACTTGAGTTAAATTTTGTTTTATTTTTCGTTACTTTCCATAATTTTTAATTGTATATCTTATTTTAATTTTTTAATTGTTAAAATTAATAATAAAAAATAGTATATTAAAGTCGTGGATAATAACAAAGTAGTCTTAAAAACAAAAAAAAAAAATAATGAAAATACTTAACAAAATTAGGTGATAGTTGCAGATACTTTTAGTTGAAGATGAAGTAGTGAAAACTTTCAAGATTTCCAAGTGCACAAAGACTCTAATGGAGTATTTTTAATATAATATTTTCACCGTTAACAACTGTATACTAATGAAGACAAAAACAAAATGAGAAGACACTGGTTATAATGACACGCCTATACAATTAATATTGTTAAATAGAAGTCGCTATCAGCAGGCACAATGAAATGAAAGCTGGTTCTAAAAGACACCTTAATTTCAACTTTATACGTTTATAAATAAAAATAATTCATATTAATTATTTAATTCTACAAATATTTAAATTACGTTATAGTTACGGTAAGTCATCTCGTTGAGGTTATACAAAATATATAAACGTTTCGGCCTATGTTCATTAAACGGTTATAAATATCTTTTGAAACTAATACTTTAGTTGCACGTGAAAGGTATAAGGAACTAAAGAAATTGATTTTATAATAATCAATTTTGCTATAATAGTTGCTATCAGCAATTCAATTTATTTTCTTCATGTAAAGTTTTTGTTGATTCATTTGATTATAATTGTTTCATAAAAAATAGTCAAGAAACCATTTATGAAGTCCATTTAGTTCTATTTTAACTTAAAATCGAAATGGACGTATTGGAAAAGTGTATTATTAATTTTTGTACGTATTCCTGTTACATTACTGCGCTCCAACCAATACCAAATTTGCATATACTAAGTATGACATTACGATGTTGTTGGATGATATATATATCTTGTGTTATTGGTTCGCATTTTTATTCACGATATTTGGACGCGGGTCTGAATGTTTTCATTAGTGTGCTCGTTGCTGATGGAGTCTTAACTTTCTGGATTTTTGGCAGTATAATAAGCATATTGGAGGCAATTTTTAAAAAGGAAAAGTATGACAAATTACAAAGTCTACAAAGGGAGATAGATTTTATGTTAATATCGTATTTAGGAATCAATACGCAAGCAAATAAACGAAACTATTATTTGAACTTACGATTTTTATTTATTATTATTGTACAACTTGTTTTTGAAGCAGTGCAACTAATAATAAATAGATATCATTTAATCGTAACTATACTTTGGTTTTTAATTCCTATCTATCACATTATTCGAATGCGATTTTTGCAAATTTCGTTACTGATAATGCAATTAAATCAACAAGCGGCAATATTGCGAGATGCAATACTTGCATTGGCGGCCCAAAATAAGCCGAAATCTAAATATGGAACTGATGTCTGGAAACCCTATACTTCTTGGGAGTATGAACAACTAAATATTATGCGTTTAATATATGGACGTTTGTATGAAGCGTATCAAATACTAAGTGAATGCTTTGGCTGGTCTTTAATTATTATTTTGATGTCTTCATTATGTGAATTAGTTTCCAAAGCGTTTTGGAGTTTTGAGGCGATGCGTAATAGTAACGAAATGCATCGAATTGTATATAACACCACATCAACTTTATCGCTTGCGTGTTTGGTATCAATACTTTTGTTACATGGAGACGAAGGTGAGGAATATGTAAGTATATAATTTAATGTTTAATTATTGTTATTCAGGGACCGAAAATAGCAGTTATTACAAAAATTTTTATAAAAAAAAGCAGCAACAAAAAGTTGTCTAAACTAATATTTAAGTATATATTTATCATTCTAACAACTTTTATCTTTAATATTATGCATGCATTTTTAACTCAAAAAAAAATGCATGCATAATTTTACAACTCAAAAAATAATAATTAAATTTGCTTCATATTATATTCATCAAAAATAATTACAGTGGTCGTCCAGTATAACGAACACTCGATATTACGAATTTTCGATATAACGAACACCCAAAATATTTACATTGATTGTTCTATATAACGAACGAAAAAAAAAAATTCTGCTCCATATTACGAACAAAAAATTTTTTGTTTCTTATTCGTTTTTGTTTTATACAAATTATGCTTTTGAATATAATTTTACTATAAAACTAGCATTATTCAGCTTAGAATATGCATGTAATTGTCCGTTTTTTTTTTTCTGAGAAAAAAGCCTATATATGGCAAAATGCATATATGCAGGCGCCACTGATCTGTTGTTCACAAATTCCATTTATCATATACGAAATACTATCCAATACTATCTAACTATTTATTGTTAGTGTGACATTAGTACATACGAAGTTAATAAATGGAATAATGCTGATAATACCATCGATGTCTCGGACGAGGATGATGGATCTGATGACGAAAATATAGAAGAAAATAATTTAGAAATTATTAAACATAAAGATGCCATAAATCATTTCGAAAAATGCATAAAGTGGGCGATTAACAATAATGAAACTTCAAAATTAGCTGTACTAAGAAAACTACAAGAAAAAGCTGTTCAGAAAAGTCTTGAGTGTAGTAAAAAACAAACAAAAATTAATGATTTTTTTTACTCTACACTATGATTGAATGCGTCCTTTCTTATAAATAATTTTTGTAACAACCGAATAAAAAATACTTTTAAATAAATATATACTCGTACGTGTTTATAAGTTAATTTATGAACTCAAATATATGAAATCTCCTAAAAATAACCATATTGGTAGGTAAATGTATAACATTCGATATTACGAATTTTTCGATATAACGAACAAGGGGTGCAACATAAAATTCGTTATATTGGACGTCCACTGTATTTTATGTGCCTTTTATTTTTTCGTGCAGAAATAACTTTTACAACGTTGCTTTTTATTTTTTAAAACACACAAATAACTGTCATTTTTGTATTATAAATATAAAAATCATGTATAACTCCTACAGGTCTGCTGAATATATTCTTAAAACGAAAATATAAAATGTATTTTTCATACAAGGTAGTTGTTTTTGTAATCTTATACAAAATATATTAAAAATTGTATATTAAAAATGTATTAAATCTCATATATAGGATTTTAATTGAGAAATTGGAAAACTGGGACTTATTTACTGATATATGAGCAGACAGATATAATGTTAATATTTGCTAGTTGTAATAGAAAAAAAGCAAATTTATTTAAAAGAACATCAGGTTGTTGTTAGGAGTGAATGCGTGAAGAATTAAGTTTAATTTTCAGGTGATGAAATCGGCTTTAACCTTTTACTGTCTACTTAAAAATCTTATCTTATCTATCTCAGCTTTTCGAGAACCCTTTCCAATTGAAATTTTGTCAGACATTTAGAGCTTTTAAATGTTAAAATCAAGTTTTTTCAAAGCTGAACTAATAATATTCGTAGTTATTAAACAATAATTACCAAGTAATAATTAACAAATAATAAATAAGAATTTAGAGAGTTTCGAATAACACAGAAAGAAAGGACAAACATAAAAATTTAGTTAATTTTATTGAAATTTGGCTGACCATACAAAGTGCATAGTGTTTATATAATATGTTTGGAGTGCAAGTCCCAGGCTCTTAGAAATCGTGCCCGTCAAATTAGAGGCGATTAAAGAAAGATATCAGTTATTACATTGGTAGCTGGTTCCGAACAATACCTTTCTGCTTTAATACACTGTGGTATTAATTAAGAAATTAAAACTTAAATTCAATGACATGCTATTATAATTAAGGAGCTTAGTACATAATACTTGATATACATGAGTACCAAAAGGATCAGAAGTATTTGGTCCTTTTTTTGAAGAAAAACTAAAATTTTCAACAAATGATATTTGTATTAGACATCATGAACGTCAAAAAAAATGTGAGTATAGTATTTAAGGTTAATTTTTATTACCCTTATAATAGTTTTAATAGTTCAGTTTAGCACTTAACATATTTTTTTGTTAATTCATCTGATTTTAATTGTCTGAGAATAGTTAGTCAAAATGACATTTGAAATATTGAAATTTTAGTTAGTAAGAAATTTCGTTAATTTCGAAATGGACGTGTTGGATAAATGTGTTATCCGTATTTGTACATTTTTATGTTACATTACGGCAGTATTGCCAGTACCAAAGTTTCAACTACTCAATATGATACTACGATTTTGTTGGCTAATACACATCTCGTGTACTGTTGGTATGCATTTTTATACTCGTTACGAAAAGGCTCGTCTGAATGTTTCTGTTAGTGGCCTAGTTGCGGATGGGGTATCAACTTCTTGCAATTTGGTTGGTATAATAAGCATACTGGAAGTACTCTTCAAAAAAGAAAAATATAAAAAACTTGATAGAATTCAAAAAGAATTAGATCACGTTTTGATAAACGATTTAGAAGTTAATATTCGAGTGAATAAAAAAACCAATCGCTTGATGCTACGACTTCTATTTATAATTATTACACAAATTATTTTTGAAACAACAAAAATAATACTACACATATATTATAAAATTATACCAATATTTTGGTATTTATTTCCCGTCTATCACATTATCCGAGTGCGATTTTTGCAAATTTCTTTACTGATAATGCAATTAAATCAACGTGCTGATATATTGAGAGATGCAATACTTACATTGGCGGCTCAAAATAAGCCAAAGTCCAAATATGGAATTGATATCTGGAAGCCGTATACTTCTTGGGAATATGAACAACTGAATGTAATGCGTTTGATATATGGACGTTTGTATGAAGCGTACCAAACACTAAGTGAATGCTTTGGCTGGTCTTTAATTATTATGTTAATGTCTTCGTTATGTGAATTTGTTTCAAAAGCATTTTGGAGTTTTGAAGCAATACGTAATAATCAAATGTACCGAATTATTTTTAACTCCTCAACGGTTTTATCCCTTACATGTTTGGTATCACTACTTCTGTTACTTGGAGATGAAGGAGAGGGAAAAGTAAGTATATTGTGTTCATGTAGTCTATTTCTTACTCTTAGAATTTCAATGATATATTGTAATTTTCATTAATTTATTTTGTGATGACATCAGGTGGTTAGAGGTAAATCGTTAATTTCGTTGAGTTGTGTAATATTTTTCCCTAATTTGATTTTGGTTTGCTAAACTATGTAAGGGTTATATGGTATGATGATGTCTACATTCCATTTCATTTTTGAGGTGTTACGAGTTTGTTAACAGATCCTCAAAACGGTGACGTATGCAAATATTGGGCAAGCTCGCATGGGGTTGGGGTTGACAGCCCTAAATTTCGAACCATTTTACACTAAATGTAATGGATTTTTTTCAATTAAATGTTTTCATTTGAAGTTTAAATTATTTTTTTAAAATATCTTTTAAATATATCTTTCTGTAAGTCCCTGGTTGGAACCGATAGTTGTTGTCGTATTATCGTGTTTAATGCAAGACATTTAGTGATAATACTTGTACTTAATTGTAGATTTATTGGTTTTTTATAATATATATAATATATTTTATTAATATAATATATATATAATATATATGTATATACTAACGGCAGATCACTTTCAGATTATTAATATAAGTAAACCACATCATAAGTAAACTTAATTGTAATAAAACAACTTAAAGGCTGTGATATTAGTTTGTATACAAAAATTCAGTCGGATCTGTAATAATTCTATATAGTAGAGATAAATATTTCTTTCTAAAATTAATAGAAAATTTATAAAACATACATATAATGAGATAACGTTGAGATGGAATACTTTATTTTGGATAGCTTATTGATTTGACATCATAACATATTTTGTCAAATCCAATATGTATACCCGGTGTACCGGTATGAAGTGAGCTTAAAGATACAAATGTTCCGACAGGGAACATTTGTTGTGAACGAGCCTTTATTTTTTTTTTGTTTGTTTGCTATGACATGTGTGAAATATATTTAGTATACATCAAGTCATTGAACAGACAACATCATATTTTTTCATCGTGTTAAAAATGTCGAATTTTGTACCAGAAAGTGATGATTTGCGGAAAGCATTAATTTTTTATTTTCATTTGAAGAAAAGTGGTGCAGAGTCGCATCGAATGCTTGTCGAGGCATATGGTGATTATGCTCTATCAGAAGCAACATGCAAAAGATGGTTTCAACGGTTCAGAAATTATAATTTTGATGTGAGAAATGAAGAACATGGCAGACCGCCAAAAAAGTTTGAAGACGCCGAATTGCAAACGATATTGGATGGAGATGACACTTTGGGTCAAAAGCAAATGGCAGAAATGTTAAATGTTGCACAACAAACAATTTCTGACCGTTTAAAAGCTATGGGAAAGATTCAAAAGTGTGTAAAATGGGTGCCACATGAATTGAATGAAAGACAGATGGAAAACCGAAAAAACATTTGTGAAATTTTGCTTCAAGGACACGAAAGAAAATCGGTTTTGCATCGGATTGTTACTGGCGATGAAAAATGGATTTATTTTAAATATCCTAAACGGAAAAAATCATGGGTTAATCCGGGACAACCATCAACATCGACGGCAAAACCAGATCGATTCGGCAAGAAGACAATGCTGTGTGTTTGGTAGGCCCAGAAAGGTGTGGTGTACCACGAGCTCCTAAAATCTGGTAAAACCGTCAATGCTGGTCGCTATGAACAACAAATGATAAATTTGAACCATGCATTAATCGAGAAACGACCAGAATGGGCCAGAAGACACGGCAAGGTAATTCTACTCCATGACAATGCATCTGCACTTGGCTCCTTCCGACTACCATTTGTTTTCATCGATGGGACACGCATTAATTGAGCAGCACTTTGATTCCTACGAGGAGGTCGAAAATTGGGTGTCTGGTTGGTTTGCTTTAAAATACGAACAATTTTTTTGGCGTGGTATCCACAAATTGCCAGAAAGGTGGTCAAAATGTGTAAAAAGCAATGGCCAATACTTTGAATAAAATGTTTTTTACTTTCCTATTAATAATTAGTGTTTTATTTTCACCAAAAAACGCTCATTTCATACCGGTACACCTAATAACTCTTTCACATAGGTATACTCTAGTAGTTATTGAACCTTCTATGAAGACAAGCCTGCAACACCTTTGCATTGTACTGACTCCCTTGACCCTAACAAATACCGTATAATGAACGGTTCATTTTCACACTTTCATTAAACTTATATTTCTTGTCTGATCTACTTTAGGTCTTGTTAAGTGAAAATTTCGACTTATCGGAGAATAGTTTTGCCCAGCCAGAAAAAGCCCAATTGCGTGAATCTTTGTCAAATTGAAGTATTGTTACTTTGATTATGTGGTATTTACCAGAGATCGACATGAATGCATTCAAAAGCCAATGTGAAACACACTACCTAAACGCGAATCATGTGTGCACACTAAACAGTATACACACGAAGCGAATGAAATGCACTATTCGCACAGTTTAATGTAGTGCACTGCCGTGCTTCGTAAAAGGCAACGAGCCTTTGTGAATGGCAACGAATGATATTCACTACTACTATGTGCTATGCGTCACAAATAATGATGCTTAAGAAATTACCTGAATTAAGTTTTATGCGTAGTAATTCTTTAAGAAATTTTAGGATTTCCGAAGGGTTTGCAATAAAAATATATAAATGTGCAAATTGTCTAGGAAAATCACTTTACAAAGTATATTTTTTTATTATATGTGTTTCTATTTTATATCTTTCAATGGAAAATATGAAAAAGCGGAAATTAAATTTTCCTAACCTGTAGAATTGATTTGATTTTATGGAGGCAATAAAGAATTAAAATATTATTTAAAATTCTTTATTTAATGATATTTTTCATGTTAAATATTAAATGTCAGTGTAAATCTCTTTCAATGTGTGAATACATAAGTACACAAAATTGATTGAGACGTAATTTCCTCTCCGTAGTTTTTTGCTAATAATATCAAATTTTTCTAAAACTACAACTATCTCAGTCAAAATAAGTAAGCTGATATTTGCTATTTTCTGCGTTTGATTACTCTCGGTGAGTAATTCATAAATTTTAGCCTTATTATTTAAACTAGATTTGAACAAACATAAATTCGAGTTCCAACGTGTCGCACAATAGTTTTTAAATGAAACTATTAGCATACGCTACAGGTTTGAGTTCTTAAAGTATTTTACTAATTTTTAACTATGCTCAAATATAGGCAATAGTCCTTCTAACTTCTTAAAAGCTGAGTGTAATAAATTATTGAAGAAATTATTGGCACAATTTAGGCGAATATTATTTTTTAAAGCCTTTACTATATTCAAACCCCTATGAGTAACAAATACAACGATAGCGGAATTTTTTATTCCAAAATCTTCTAAAAGTTAGTGTATTTTGTTAAAAACATTTTAACAAACATTTTTATGCGTACATCGTTTAAAATTCATGCATTTGGTCCCAAAAGTCAATTCTTTTAGGTGATCGTCTTTCTTGAAATAGATTGTTTTCCATTGTATTTAAATATTTTATTGTATTTATTACAAAATACAATTCCTGCAATTATGAAAACATCCTTTTTTTCAATTAAATCAAAAATATCCCTCATTTTGCTTTTATTGTTTTGTTTTCTTAAAACATAAACAAAATAAATAAAACGATTTTTATGTAGCTCATTTGTAAAAAAGGCATTTTAAGAATTTTTGTAGCGAAATCAAACAAAAACAATATTGTTTACCACACTAATATTTCGTTGCATAGTAAAAAGCAGTAGTGTGTTGCATGATGCAGTACAACACAATAGGCTGTACGAGCTACAACACTGCACTGCATTAACGAACGAAAAAGCACGACATTGCACGATTCGCAGTTGGTGTAAGCAAGCAAAGATTCAAGAAACGCAGCGAATGTTGTTGTTGGCACTATAACGTGAGCCATTCGCTGTACATCTCTGGTATTTACTACATAAATCAAATCAAAAACTTTAAAGCGATATGGAATCATCTGGGTGTTGCAAATGGGTATATGGACACCTTTAGCTCAGCTGCTCTTGTAATTTAGATAGTAATGTGATTTGGTATCGTAAACTCATGTGCTTAAGAAGAAGACAGAAGCGAGTAGTGTGTCTTTGTTGAGATGATCAAAGCCACTAACCGTACTTATTGTACAAGTCTTAAAAAGGCGTGCACGAATATAATAATCTTTAAGTTGTGAAGATATATTGCTTTTTATAACAATTTTTGCTTTTTAAGTTAAAGTTTTTACATAAAGTGTTGAATAATTTTGTCTGAGTTTGTCATAAAGACTATAATAAAATTATTTCACATAAACATAAATATTGACTAACTATGTAGAGTAAATAGCGAGTTTGGTAATTCTAAGTGCAGTTATCACTTAAAGAAATTAATTAAATGTCAATGTTGTTCATTCGATTTAAGTATGACTTTTAAAAAACAAAGAAAATTACTCACACTAGATTTACTCAAAACAGTGAAGTTCATATTAAAGAGAAATCGATTTTAGTTTTGTCGTGTACTTTGAATGACTTTGAATGACTTCCAGTAGTATTTTTTTGTTAAGTGCTAGTGAAAGTATTTCGTGGTTGTTGAAAGTGTTTAGCGCAAAATGCATATCCACAAATATTTTGAAAAATTTACTAAAACTTATCTGCAGTTGGCGTATTTTGCAACAGCACTGATTCCTATACCAAACACATCAGTTCTAAATGGAATCATTTGTCTTGGTTGGCTCACATTTCTCAGCGGTTCCATGATTCTTGCTGTTTATTGGCGCGTTACAAGTAACGTAAACTCGATCGTTTCGCTAGTCGGTACAGGATTGTATATTGGAAACATATTAGCCAACTTTGTAGTCATTTTAGAAGTTGTCTGTAACTATCGACTCTTCACAAATATAAAATACCTGCATTTAGAGGTGGACTTATTAATGGAACGTCATTTGCATGCTAATATACGTAATGATATACTCCGCTCCAGAAACATGTTGAAAATTTTTT